CCCAGCCGCCTGGCTGCCACCGGAGCACAGAGAGAACCCAGGCTGAGTCCGCATTCAGCTTCTCTCCCACCCACGGCTGACCTTGGTGGGTGGGAAGACCCTCCCCATGGCTCAGCACACCGCTCTCTGTTCCCATGGTTGATAAAGAGAGGCACACCTCCCACGACCCCGAGAACTGCCTTGGGGGCCGCCACCTGCCCCAGCACATCAACGCTGTGGCAGCTGTCTGGAGCCCTGCCCTGCCCTGCCGAGTGTCACCAGCACTCCAACAGCAAGCACAACCCTTCCTTAGCACGGGCCCATGCCACCCCATAAACTGGGCTTCTGGATACAAGGAGCGGCTTCCCGGGCCCTCCTCCCTGCCATTCTGCGAGAGGCGACGATGATGAAACATTTGTTCCTTTGCCCCTCACCTCCTCCAGGGGAAAGGTTTCCGTCCACTGATCTGACACAGAGTTCCACAGTCATTCCTTCCAGTTTAAGGCTTTGATTGCTGAAAGCCCCTGGAGGTCAGAGTCCTACCTGGAAGGATGGTGGGTGGCTGATCCTTCCAGTTACCAGGTCAGTGACTTTTCCCTTGGCCAGCAAGGGAATGTAGGGTAGAGAGCAGGAGATGACCCAGGGAAGCCGAGAGAAGGGGACGGATGGCTTTTGAAGATCAGGACGCTCTCACGGAAGTCCGGGCTGTGGTCCTGGGCTGGAGCAGGGTGCTGAGCTCCAGAAACCTGGGCCAGCAGCATGGTCTCTCTGGCCTCCGGGCCCCCTCAGCTCAGCCACTGTTCCCTTCCCTTCTCCTTGACCTGTGGGCTCCCACAGGATGGCGAGCCTGAGGGCTAATTCCTGGTCCCCGCGTGGGCCTTCCCTCTTCTTCCTCTGGCGAGGGTGTGAGGTGGGTCTGGTGATCCAGGGTGGGGCCCGACTATGGGAGGAGGCTCCTGACAGCCGTGGTTGGGCCTCCAGTCGGAGGGTGGCCTGGCTCCTGCCCCGTGCCCGTGCCCGGGCCTCCCTGGCTGCCTGCTGCAGGCACTCCCTGCTGGATACCGCATTCCTGCCATTCTCAGAGCCCGCCCTGATGCCTGCTCTCAAAGGGCTCCTTGAGGTTAGCATTCAAGGCCTGTCGGGCCAGTGGGTCAGCTTGGAAGGCTGTCCTTGTCCAGACCAGACTGTGGGGCCCATCGCTTGTTGCTGCCTCCACAGATAATGACACCGCCCCCCATTCTGGCTACCTCTCCTCCCTCCCCTGAGCAGCCCTCTCTCACGGGCAGTGAGGATGTGGGGATGCTGAGGACCAGGGGGTGACAGCACCCAGCGCTGATGAGAAAGAATGATGCTCCACCAGTCAGCCCCGCTTTAGGAAAACCCTCTCCGTGGAAGGTCACACTTGTCCCAGACAGTCGGTTGCTGGTATTGTGCTGGGAGGGTGGGGGCCACCAGAGGGGTCAGATCTGATTGGTTCCCACAGGATCAGAGCCCCAGGGATGGCCTGGCTGGGGGCCTGATGGGGGAGGACTGCCCCCCTGACACCTGGTCATCTTCTTGAGCCTCATTTCTGTCTGGGGCTGGGCCTAGTGAGGAAGGTGGGGGCTCAGGGGGCCACGGAGTCTAGCTGGTTACAGGGCAGCCTCAGTGTACCCTTTCTTGGTCCAGAAGAAGCCAGGATTGGCAAAGAGTCACATGGGGATAGGGGGCTTGTGCCTGGCTTGCCTCTGGGGCCATGCCCACCCCGTGTGTCCCTAGCCCTCTCCCCTGCGTGAACCCCTGGTTATTCTGGGAGCTTTTAGCTACCACTTAGTCAGCCACTAATGCGTCAGGCCGGGGAGTGAGGGGGGAGACATGGTGCCAGACGGTGCTCCTTTTAGACTTCCAGGATAGGAAGTGGGGGGACGGGCTGGTCAGACAGGGCGACCTGGGGTGGGGGGACTCTGGAGGAGAGGAGGCTCTGTGGATCCTGGCTCCGCTCATTGGAAAGAGAAGGCAGCTCTGGAGACTGAAGGGCAGGGGTTTGGTGTAGCCTTGGTCCCCTGCCTTGCCCTTCCCGCATCACCACACTGGGGGCTTCAGCCCACCTTTCCCCCTTCTCCTCTCTTTAGGTCTCTTCACCCACCACACAGTCAGCTTTCCCACCTTTGCTCAGGCTGTTTCCACTGCCTAGGATTCTCTTCTTGTGTTTCTGACCCATCTAGCATAGGTCTGTCTGCCTTCCCCATCCTTTTGGATTCCTAAGGAAGCAAGAAGACATATTTAGGGATGCAACACTGAAACTCTTTAGGAGCAGGCCCCGGCCTTGCTCAACCCCTGCTGGGGTGGAGCCTTGAATGCCACCCCCTCCCCTCTTGGTGCCAAGGGGCCACAGATCCTGGCTGCCAAGACTTGGTGCTGCCTTCACTTCCAGGCAGCCCTCCTGCCCCTGAGCCCCCCAGCCCCCACTCCTGTGACCTGAACAAAGCTTCCTTTCATGTATTCATCTAGCTGCTGCCGCTCAGACACTTCCCCTGCACAATCAGGCCCTTTGAGGGCCTCGGGCAGTGCGGGAGCCGGGCTGGGGCTGGGGTAGGGAACGGGCCAAGGCCTCGTCCTGGGGCCGAGCTGGTGCCATCTCCCTCGGTACACATCACCAGGCGCAGGGGCGGGAGGGGTGGGGGCCTTGGGGTCAAGGGAGGCAATGCTCCTGGGCTCCCGTTTCTCCCGCAAGATGAGGTGAGCAGTTCCCACTCCTGACCCTGACAGCCACAGCCAGGATTTGAGCGCAGCGGGGCTCACGCTTGCAGATCTGTGCAGGGCTGTCCTGGCATGCTATACCCAGCAGCACCTCCATATGCACCAAGCAGCCCCCCAACCTCCGTGCAGCCCTCACCCTCCTGTGTGTTCTCAGCGATACTTGGTGAGCAGCCCGGGGGTCTGTACCAGTTTTGCTTGAGCGCCATGGAGGCTTGCTTTGGTGTGGCTATTTCACCCCTCCAACTGGGCTCCAGGGTAGGGCCGGGCCTCCCCGCAGGGCTTGCTCTTCAGGGCCAGGCCACGGCTCTCCCATCAGACTAGACTGCCCAGGACAGGCTGCGTCTCCTCACTTGGATGGCCCTGTGACCCCAGACACAGGCTCCCTCAGGGCCCCTCCCACGCCCCTTCCTCCACGACTAGGGCTGAGCATCGGCTGTGCAGACCCCTCCTCTGAGGCCTGTGGCCATGAGCTGAGGCGACTGTTTGGAGATGGCCAGTGTGACCTTGGAGCTCCTCCCCTTTGGCCTCTTGAGGGCCTCAGATCTCAGGTTCCAGCCCCGCGTCTTCAGGCCCAGACAGGTAGCTTTTTCTGGCTGCCTGACCGTCTCAGGGAGTAGGTGGGGAGCTGGGGCTACAGACTGTCTCAATTCCGGGTTAGGCTGCGGGGCTGGTGGCGGCTGCTCAGGCTGTGGGTGAAAGGGGAGCTGGAGCCAGGGTGCTGAGTCAGGAAAACCTGTGTCTCTCCCCAGCACTCTAATTTTATCCCAACTGCTGGGGAAGGGGAGCCTGCCAGCCCTGGCTGAGCCCTCGCCAGGTGAACCTAAGGGCCGTGAGCTCAGCACTTCTCTGTGGCCCGCAGTGCTGGCGTCTTCATGAACGTTCCTGTCTACCAACACTCAGTCTGGATGAGCCAGAGTCTCCTGCCTCCAGAGCGACCTTGGGCTAGAGTGTCCCTGAAGGCCCTCTATACAGTGAGCTGGGCTACAGCTGAGGTGGAGTCTGAGAATAGCCCACTTGCCCACGTGACCTGGCCATGCAAGAATGTATCTTAAGGAAAGGGGGTGAAAGTGGAGAGGGCGGTGTTGCAGGGTGGGTAGGGCGCTCTGTCCCTGCTGAATGCAGAATCAGGAGGAATAGCTCAAATGGCACAGAGGGGACTGGGGGCAAAGTCAAGGACAGGGCAGTTCTTTTCTGTCTGGGTTGAGGGTGTCCTGCTTGGGTGTCACTGCCTGCTGCCCTTGAGTTTGCTGCAGCTGAATAAACAGTGATCAGGCTGAGGGCACTGGCTGGTCGGAGGTGGGCTGGTGCTAGTTATGGCTGATTGCTGGGGGCGCCACCGCAGGCTGTCCCATTCCTGTAATTTAGCCCTGCAAGCAGGACGACCTCAGCGATGTCACTGGAGATGAGACATCTTCTCCCTGGAGGCAGTGGCTGTAGAAATTTTCTTTTTTGGGCAAAACTGTTCCAATCAGCCCTTCTACTTAAAGTTCCAGGCTATGCTCTGTGAAGGGCCCCCATCCCAGAGTTGTGGGGAAGTAGGGGCTGGTCATCCCTCCCCAGGAATGAGCTGGCATCCTTGTGAAACCAAGCCAGGGCAGTCCAGGGCACAGAGTCCAGCCTGGGGCAGAAGCTCTGGTTCCTGGCCTGCTACTGCCCATGTGAGTTGGGGCTGCCCCTCTCTGGACCTTTGTTTTTCCATCTCTAAAATGGGAGGACCTGGACATTAAGATTCCTTTCTGGCTCTTGATCCTTACTGACCTGCTCACTCAGGGGATGGGTTAGGCTGGGAAGGGTCAGAGAGGGCCTCCTGAAGGAGGGGAGAGGGTTTCGAGCAAAGTGATTCCTGGGAGCCTGAACTGGCCGTGGGGTTCTTATAGGCCCTGCTACCTGCAGGAGGTGGAGGTGACCGCTTGCTCTGTCCTAGGCAGCAGAGAGCCTCAGAGCAGAGTTGGGGGTCCTCCTCCCCAAGCCCAGCCCTCTTGGGAGCAGCAGAATGTGTGCAGGGGGGGTGTGGGGGTGGGGTCGGTTCTCCCCAGGGGTCCTTAAATTCTGTCCCCACTCTGAGGTCACACATATTGTAGGGTAGGGGCCTTGGCTTTGGGGTGAGGACAGCTGGTTTCCAACCCCTACCAGAGGGCTCCTCTTGTTTCCCGCTCACAGCTCTGGGTCCAGTGTCTCCATAGCCAGCTCCAAGCCCTCGTAGCTCAGTGGATGCGGTGTGTGTGGGGGGCAGACCGGGATCTTCCAGCTTCAACGTTTTCTGCCTATTGTCTCTTCCTTAGGCCATGCAGGGCAGGACCATGTGGACTTCGGCTCAACTGAGCCACACACGGTGCTTTTCCATGAGCCAGGCAGCTCCTCCGTGTGGGTGGGCGGACGCAACAGAGTCTATGTCTTTGACTTCTCCAAGGGCAGGAACGCCTCTGTGCGCACGGTGAGCCTGAACCCTCTCCTGCCCCCTTCTCTCTTCTTTCTTCCCCGTCTTCTTTTTATTGATTGATTGATTGATTGTTTTGGCTGAGCTGGGTTTTCGTTGCTGCGTGCGGGGTTTCTCTCATTGAGGCAAGCGGGAGCTGTCCTTTGTGGCGGTGCACGGGCTTCTCATTGCAGCGGCTTCCCTTGTTTTGGAGCACGGGCTCTAGGGCATGGGCTTAGTAGTTGTGACACACGGGCACACAAAATTTGTTGCTCTGTGGCATGTGGGGTCTTCCCAGACCAGAGATCGAACCTGTGTCCCTTGCATTGACCCATGGATTCTTAATCACTGGACCACTAGGAAGTCCCTTTCCCCATCTTATCTCCTCTCTGGCCTTGGTGAGAGGCCTCAGGGAATCCGGGGGAGCTGGCATGTTTTCCAGAACTCGTCAGCCCCCATGATACCCCATAAGTGGTGTCTGGGGAAAGACACCCCTGAAAGTGGTCCTGACTGGCCTGGGTGTTGGAGTGATGTGGAGACAGGCATGGAGCTAACACGCCTGGCCGGGTGGGGAGCGCTGACTAGGGAGGCCTAGCAGGAAGTGGGCCTCCCAAACCCCGTGACCCTGTCTTGTGAGATTTCTGGGCTGGCCCATGAGCTCTGGGCTTTGGCTCTGGGTATCAGGCTGAGTAGCCTGTGTGATCTTGGGTAAATCACTCCCCTTCTTGAAGCCCTAATTGCTCATCTGTCAAACGAGCCCATCCTGAGGATGCATGGAAAGCAGTTGGGGCATCTTGCCCCTGGCAGGCAGACTCATGTCCCCCCTCCCTGTTCCCCAGGTGAACATTGGCTCCACCAAGGGGTCCTGCCGGGACAAGCAGGTGAGTGGGGAAGAGGGATCGCAGAGGGGAGGCTGGGCCCCTTGGAAAAGTCCCTAAGAGTCTGAGGAAGGAGGCCTAGCCCTGTCTTGGGAGCCGCATTCCGGGAGGAGAGAGGCAGCCCTGTCCTAGGGTTCCTGGCCTGACGGGGAGACACTCCTTCCCTAAACCCTCCTCTGTTTTTAGGGGGGTGGGAGTCAATTGCACCCACTTGTGCTCTCCTTAGAGATACCTTCTGGGCTCGGATTTCTGAAGCCTTCTTTCCCAAGACTGAGGGTCCTGGTGCTAGGCCTGTCAGGGCTTCCAACCAACTTCTTGCCTTCTGCCTTTCCTGGCAGGACTGTGAGAACTACATCACACTCCTGGAGAAGCAGAACGAGGGGCTGCTGGCCTGTGGCACCAACGCTCGGCACCCCAGCTGCTGGATCCTGGTGAGGAGGCCCCTCCCTGTGTGCCTGATCAGCTCACCCTTGTCTGGGTGGGCTTCTGCCCCCCATGGTGGGAGCAGGTGGTGGGGCGCTCTGAGGCTGGTCTCACCTTGTACAGAGTTCCTGGGAGGATGGGGACCCTGGCTGAGCAGCTGGCACCCGTGGGAGGCAGTGACCATGGGACCACGTGGCATTCTGACCCCCTTGGTTTCCCCCAGGTGAACGACTCTGCAGAGTTTCTTGGGGAGAGGAGAGGTTATGCGCCCTTCAGCCCAGATGAGAACTCCCTGGTTCTGTTTGACGGTAGGGCTGTGGCTGGAGCAGGCGGGTGCCCTGAAGGCAGCTGACCTGGGCTGGGGGAGGGTGGTCAGCACTGTGCCTGGCACAGGCCCAGTGGAGGGGCTTCCAAGAGCTGTGTGCCCTTATCCGTGGCCCTCCCACTGTGTCCAGGGGACGAGGTGTACTCCACCATCCGGAAGCAGGAATATAATGGGAAAATCCCTAGGTTCCGCCGCATCAGGGGTGAGATCGAGCTGTACACCAGTGACACCGTCATGCAGAGTGAGTTAGGCTCCCACTGGGCCGGGCCGGGCTGGGCTGGGCCGACGAGCGTGTGTGAATGCCCTGAGGTCCTCATGTTTCTGGGGGGGTCTCCCTGAGGGCTGCTGGGGCCACAGGCCGTCAGGAAAGCGGGAGCTGGGTGCAGCCCTAAGAAGAGAGAGCCGAGGAGGCGGGCCTGGCCAGGAGCAGGGGGTAGCAGAGGTGAAGATATGGGCCCAGAATGGGCCTGACACCCTCTGCAGACAAATCAGAGGAAGCCCCAGACCCAGTGTGGGGTCCCCAGGAGCCACAGTGTGTTCCTCTGCTGAGCTCATGTGGGGCCACCCCCACTCCCTCCTCTACCAATTAGGCAGAGGTGACATAGGGGCCCCCAGGGACTCCTCCCGGTCCCTCGGCATGAAGTCATTGCTCCTGGGCCAATGACATCTTTGTAGGAGAGGGCAGAACAGGTGAGGGGTGGGGGTGCAGCGTCTCGGCCCCCTTGGGGTGTTGGCCTGGTGTTCTGAAGTTTATTCTGGGTGGGACTGGACATGTGTTTGTTTGTGCAGACTTGGGGGCTGGGTCCTCTGAGAGGCTCCTCACACCCGTTCACGTCTGTCCCCGGCAGACCCGCAGTTCATCAAGGCCACCATTGTGCACCAAGACCAGGCCTATGATGACAAGATCTACTACTTCTTCCGAGAGGACAACCCTGACAAGAATCCCGAGGCCCCTCTCAACGTGTCCCGAGTGGCCCAGCTGTGTAGGGTGAGCCAGAGCAGCTTGGGCATGTGAGTGTGTCTGTGCCTGAACAGGAGCGAGTGAGTGTGTGTGTGCAAGTGTGCGAGGGAGTCTGTGGGACTGTGGGAGGAAGAGGGTGTGCACAGGAGGGTGGGTGCATCTGTGAATGGGTAGTGATGGTTGCGATCATATGCATGTGTGAAGGTATGCATAGGCGTGTATTCATGGAGAGTGTGCACGAGCATATGTGGAGGAACAAGAGTGTGTTGACATTGTGTGTTTCACCGGCGTGAAGATGCTGGGTTGTGTAGGTCTGTGTTGTGTGTGAGTGTGAATGTGTAAGACTGGGCAGATGTGCGTCTGAGCTGGTGTGCTCGGTGGGGACCTGACCCCCGCACCCTGCAGGTCCCCAGTGTGGGCCCTGAGCCCTGGGTCAGCCAGCCTGCCACCTGGAGCCTGGCCTGAGTCGTGGGGCACCCCAGCCTCGCCCCTTGGCATGTCCCCCCCTTGCAGGGCCTCCTTTCCTCCTCAGAAGCTTGGGTGCCAGCCTTCCTGGCATCAGGTGCCCCGGGTGTGTGGGGCAGTCCAGGCAGGTGCTGAGGGACCGCCCCCTGCCCTCCTCATTTCCAGGGGGACCAGGGTGGTGAGAGTTCACTGTCGGTCTCCAAGTGGAATACCTTCCTGAAAGCCATGCTGGTGTGCAGTGATGCCACTACCAATAAGAACTTCAACCGGCTCCAGGATGTCTTCCTGCTCCCCGACCCTAATGGCCACTGGAAGGATACTAGGGTCTATGGCGTCTTTTCCAACCCCTGGTGAGTGGCCCTTGTCCTGGGGCTAGGCTGGTGAGTGTCCAGTGGGGATCAAAGCACTTGGGCCCTGCCGAGGGGATGGCTGATATGGCAAGTGCAGGGATTCCAGGCTCAGGGGACGAGGCTGTTGCCGGGCCTGGGTTGGGTGGACACAGGGCTCAGGGGGATGTGTGTGCTGGTGTACAGACAGCTGTGTGCACATGTGCTGTGTGCATGCTTATAGCTCCTGGGCCTGTGTGTCCACCAGCTGTGTACACAGAGCGGCTGCTGGGCCCTGGGAAAAAGGCTGCTGAGCCCTCTCAGGATGCTGGGTGCTATCACACCCGCTCAGGCATTGCCTGCGCCTGATAATTCACACCTCTTAATCACTCTCATTGATTGAAAACAAGGCAGGCCTAAGTGCAGGGTGTGTGGGGGGAAGGTGGGGGCAGGGTAGGGAAACCCAAGACCCTGCTCTGGGGCTCCCGGGTGCACGGACCCAGCGGGCTGGGAGGAGGACGGGGGTCCGGCCTCCATGGCCATTAGCATCCCAGGAATGCACGTGTTGGGATTCCTCTTGCCCTGGGGTTGACCTCTGAACTCTGATTCCGTGACAGAATACAGGTTGTGGTTTTATATTGCAAAATAAGGAAATTAGGCTGAACTTCTGTCCCTCCCTTTCTGTCCTGCCTCCTTCCTTCCTTCAGTGGTGTTTGCTAACACTCAGGCACTGGCCTTGGCCTCCAGGAGAGTCCCTGCCCTCATGGAGCTCGAAGGCCAGGGGGCTTGGTCACAAGGCTGTAGTTGTACTCTGGTGCGGGGCTGGCCTGAGTGAGTGGAGGTGGGTGGTCCTGGACCTCCCACTGAGGTGGTCTGTCTGTCCCCCCAGGAACTACTCGGCTGTCTGCGTATACTCCCTCGGTGACATTGACAAGGTCTTCTGCACTTCCTCACTCAAGGGCTACCACTCGAGCCTCCCCAACCCACGGCCTGGCAAGGTGAGCAGTGACACCCGCCGTGGCCCAGCCCGCGACCCCATCTCCCAGCCACCCCACTGATCTGGACCTGTTCTCCTTGCCCAGTGTCTGCCAGACCGGCAGCCGATACCCACAGAGACCTTCCAGGTGGCCGACAGTCACCCTGAGGTGGTGCAGAGGGTGGAACCCATGGGGCCTCTGAAGACGCCACTGTTCCACTCCAAGTACCACTACCAGAAAGTGGTTGTCCACCGCATGCATGCCAGCAATGGGGAGACCTTCCATGTGCTTTACCTAACCACAGGTAAGGGGCTACCTGGGACCCCTTCTCCAGTCTACTTGGTAAAAATGAGTATAAAGAATAATGTCATTAACATCTGATTGTATAGCTATACCTGGAAGGGAGAACTGAGTGGCTAAGAGCTGTCAGGAGTTAATATGTGTAGCTGTGGAAGAGTCAGGCAGTGAGGGCTTCCTGGAGGAGGTAGGGCAGAAGGAGGAGGGCATTGAAGGCTAGAAGGTACCTGGATTCAGAGGCAGAAATGTGTTGAGTGTGAGCAAAGCTGGGTGTAGCTTGGTCCAGAATTCTGACTCCTGAGGATGGTAGGAAGAGATGTGGAAAGTCAGGTGGAAGGGCCTGGTCCCAGGTGTCCTATGGGCCTCTGCCAGGCAGAGTGAGGAAATTGGTCCCTCTCACTGTCTTTGAGATTATGCAGGTAAGAGGAAACATCTGATGTGGGATGCAAAGAGTTTCGTGAGATGTGAGGAAGGGCCTCCAGATGGCAGTGCCTTTGCAGGGTCTTGCGGATGACTGCCGGGCCACCTCCTCTTCCCTAGAGGGGCTCCCTCTGGTAGTGGGGTCTGGCTGGCCCCAGAAGCAAAATAAAACATTCTGAAAGGTGAGCCTGCATCCCAGAAGGTCATTGGCCATGAAGAAGACAGCCCTGCGGTGGCTTTAGAGCAACTTCCTGGTCCCAGACTGTGGGCGAAGATGCTCTGGGAGCAGGCATGGAGATCAGTATTGAGGGGAGGGTGCTGTAGGCCTTCCTTAGGACTGGGTAGTGGCACCATCAGAAAAGCAGTGTCTCCCCCAGTGCCTAACACCTCTGGGGTCATGTAGTCTAGGCCTCAGGCATGCCCCTCAGTTGCACATACCGCCCCATGTGACTTCCTGCTGTTGCTTCACCTTGGGGTTTTCTCAGGGTCATGGTGGCCTCATTGGTTTTTTGGCTCTTAGGAGTCTTGGGGAGAGTAATTTCCCGTTCACAGGCTTGGCTTCTGAGTTGTGAGATCCGCCCCTTGACTCCTCCATTCATCCTGGCTCCACCCACTGACCCCTGTCCTTGCTCTGCTCCCTGGCGCCACTCACTGACCCCTGTCCTTGCTCTGCTCCAGCAGCGGATGGCCCGGCTATTGTGACCAGCCAGCGGGATGGAGCACTGGGGTGTAGGCGGGGTGACGATGTAGGACTGGGAGCAGGAGCCAGGACAAGGCAGGCTGGTCCTGGGCTGAGGGAGCTGTAGGCTCCCTTTCTGCAGACCTGGAAGCCGATGCACTTGAGTGATGAGGGCATTTGTCTCGGTTCTCCCTGAGGGCCATCAGAGAAGTACTGTTTTGGAGTTTGCAGCATGAAGGATTGGGGCTGGATGGGAAATAGGACTTTCTGAGCCCTCTGCAGAGGATGGGAGCCTCTTACAGCTGGAAGAAGCTATGAGAGGTTGTCACCGGGCTGTGTGGAAGAGGTGAAGGGCAGTGTGGGTGTGAAGGTAGTGCTTGCGCTGGGAGCCTGTCAGGCCCAGGGAGCCAGGGACCACATCCCAGAACCCGCAGAGGGGGGATCGTGGACACTTAGAAGTAATGTCCCCGGCAGGCAGTCATCTGATCATCTGACTGCTTTTTTGGGGCAAGTGATGCCCTGGGAAATTGGGAGGGAGGGAAAGGGAGGTAGGCTATTCTAGAAACTGGGACAGCCGGGGAGGTAGGATTGGGAGGACTCAGGGGTCAAGATGCCCGTTAGTCCCCGACAGGAGTGAATGAAGAGAGCTCTGGGCTCTGAGGCAGGCAGCCTAGTATATGACCTTGGGATCCCCTATGTGGAACCTAAGGTCCTTTTCAGGTCTAAGATTTTAGAAAAATAAAAAAATCCCCTAAGACTGCATATGAAGTATGGAATCCTGGATTGGATCCTGGAACAGACAAAGGACATTAGCGGAAAAACCCGTGAAATCCCAATAAAGTCTGCAGTCGACTTAATCATAACAAACCAGTGTCAACTGCTCGGCTGTGACAAATCTCACAGTCATACAAGATGCTAACCTTTGGGGAGACTGGGCGAAGGGTATATGGGAATTCTGGACTGTCTTTGTGACTTTTCAGTACATCTGAAATTACTCCAAAATAAAAAGTTTATTTTAAAGAAAGCACACCCGAAAGAGTCCAGGAAACAGAAGAGGTTGGAAGGGTCTGGTTCTGCCTGCTCTGGGTTCCAGTCACCAGTTGCGTGACCTTGAGCAAGTTGCTTGGCCTTTGTGAGCCTCATTTCCTTTTCTTTGAAGTGTGGATGTTGATACCCGCCTCCCAGGGGAGTGTGGGGTTAAATGAAGTACTGTAACTGATGCATGTAGCTGGAGGCTTGGCAGTGCTGGGGCACGTGGGACTGCTGGTTCTGTTCTTCGTGCTCCAGCTTCCCCTTGTGGCCTTGGGGAACCCAGAGCCTCCTGGGATGGCCTCCCTGGCTCAGCCTTGGAAACTTCTTGTGATATCTTTGGGCCCTTAAGACCCTCCCCAGTCATGCTGTCCTCCCCCCACCCCACCCCATCCTCTGACGCTCGCCCGAGCCGTGACTTACAGCCCTGCCCACCCGTGCCTTTCCTGGTCAGCTCTGCCCAGGGGGAGGCTGCCTGGCTCTGCGGTGGGGCTCCCGCCTGCTGACCCTCTGCCCTTCACCCACAGACAAGGGCACCATCCACAAGGTGGTGGAGCCGGGGGAGCGGGAGCACGGCCTTGTCTTCAACATCTTGGAGATCCAGCCCTTCCGCCGGGCGGCCGCCATCCAGGCCATGTCGCTGGACGCTGACCGGGTGAGCCTCCCCATCCTCAACCCGCCCTGTGGGGCCGACGTGACCGCCAGCTGAGGACAGAGCCCTTCTGCGTGTGACTTGCGTGTTCTTTTCAGGGTCTCTGGGCCCCTGGGCCTGCCAGGCAGCTGGACCTCAGCCTGGGGGCTTAGAACTCAGTTGGGATCCCTGGCCTGACTGGTCATGTTTTTCCTTCCAGCGGAAACTGTATGTGAACTCCCAGTGGGAGGTGAGCCAGGTACCCCTGGACCTGTGTGAAGTCTACACCGGGGGCTGTCATGGCTGCCTCATGGCCCGCGACCCCTACTGCGGCTGGTACCAGGACCGCTGTGTCTCCATCTACAGCTCCCAAGAGTATGTTGGCTGGGCCCCCTGCTCCTAGGAGAAAGTGGACACAGCAGTGGTGCTTGATGGGTGGCGTCCCTTCTGGCCAGACCCTCCTCCGGGTGGGCACCACTGCTGCTACTGGTCGGGGGTGAGAACAGGGAAGGGGCCAGGCCTGTGGCCTCCTGTTTTCTTAGCCTCTCTCTTCCTTCCAACTCCAGGCCAGTGCTGCAGTCCATCAATCCAGTCGAGCCACACAAGGGGTGCCCCAACCCGAAGCCAGGTACCTATCTGGCCCAGCTCAGAGGCTACAGTCCAATGTGGGTGGTACATTCGTGCCCCAGTTGCCCTGTCTGAGGGAGGCCAAGTCTGGTCCTGGGGGCTCCAGACAGATGGGGCAGGACAATCCTGTGGAGGGAGCCCCCTTGGTGTGGGGGTTCTACAAGGAGTCGGGTGAGGGAGGCAGGTGAGAGTAAGGAGGAGATGGGGACTAGTTTCCCCGTGTTCATTTAGAAGCCTTGGCCTTGTAGCCCTATCAGCGTGGGAGGACACACCCTGCCCTGGGAGCCCTCGGCTGCTCCTCACGGCTCCCTCCCCTCGCCTCCCAGAACAGGCCCCGCTGCAGAAGGTTTCCCTGGCCCAGAACTCCCGCTACTACCTGAGCTGCCCCATGGAGTCCCGCCACGCCACCTACTCCTGGCGCCACGAGAACAGTGTGGAGCAGAGCTGTGAGCCCGGCCACCAGAGCCCCAACTGCATCCTGTTCATTGAGAACCTCACGGACCTCCATTACGGCCACTACTACTGTGAGGCCCAGGAGGGCTCCTACCTCCGCGAAGCTCAGCACTGGGAGTTGCTACGTGAAGACAGCGCCATGACCTCGCAGCTGCTGGGCCGCGCCTGCGCCCTGGCTACCAGCCTCTGGCTGGGTGTCCTGCCCACGCTCATGCTTGGCCTGCTGGTCCATTAGAGCCTCACGGGGCCGGGTATGCTGCAGGCTTCTGCAGCCCCGAAGCACTGGAAAAGTCTCACATCCAGAACCGGTGGGGCCTGCGAGCTCCTTGCCCACCACTTCTTCCCAGGGGGACTGCGTAAACCTGACGGGGGACACCGGGCCTGCAGATGGCCAGCCGCAGGCGGCTGTTGGGCCCCCGTGGGGCGAGGGTGTTGCGGGCCACAGAATGCAGGCTCTGACTCTGAAGCTGGGGCCTTGATGACCCAAGACTTTATCTTTTGGAGATTATTTTTCAAAAACTACTCCTCAAACTGATGAAATGCAGTGATGCTCTTGGCCTAAGAGCCTGTGGGCCAGAGAGTGGGGTTTAAAAAAAGAGGAATGGGGGACCCCATCTCTGGACCTTAAGGCTGAGGCCCGAGTCCTTCTGGACTCTCTAGACCCAGATCGCCCCCTCATTCTCCCTCCTGCCAGGACTCGGGGAGGCTAGTGTTCCTGCAGGCCCGGGGCTGCCCTCTGTGACCTCCTCACCAGCCCTGGGTCTCTTTAGGCAGCTGCATTGCATGTTTATTGAAGGATGTTTGCTTTCCGGACGGAAGGACGGAAAAAGCTCTATTTTTATGTTAGGCTTCTTTCATGTATAGCTACTTCTGACTGCATCTGTATGAAATACCAAAACTACATGCAGGGTAGGGTGGGGAGGGAGGGGCTGGGGGAGGGATGGGTCATGGGGGGGTGGGGGGCGGGGCTTGAGTCTATGGCTCCTGGGAATGGGATGAGAGTCCAGGGATGGGCATGGGTTTGAAGAGAGAAGCATGAGCTGGCTCTGCCCTGGGAGCCCAGTCTGAAGGGGACGTTGGTCCATGCCCCTGGTCAGGGTGGTTGCGGGAGGGGGTGGGATGAGGGAGACAGGGGAGAATGAAGGAGAAAACTGAGCCCTGGGTTCACCGTGTTCATTTCAAAGGAGGAGCCAGGTCCTCAGGGGGAGGTTTCTAGGACTCTGCCCTTGGCATTGGGGGCTGGGGGGCGGGGGGAGTCCCCTCCCCTCCCCTCAGCCCCCTTCCCCAAGGGCTGTGCTTCCATGCTCCTAGCCTCCCACCTTCAGCTCAGGACATGTTATAACTTAGGCTAAACTGTGAATTCCTGTAGGGACGGCCTGGGCCAAGCTCTCCAGGTGGGCGGCTCTGCCCCCAGCCCTGTCCATGGATTTCAGCAGAGAGCTGGGCCCTTCTCTGGCTGTTTCTGGCCAGCCCGGGGCAGGGCCTGGGGCTGGTGGCCTTCCGGCTTCGGCCCCTGCATCTCTTCTCAATGCACTTTAATAATGTAACATATTACTAATAAACAAACTATTTATTTACCTGTGTGTGCTCCTTGCCTTCCATGCCATTCTGGTCAGGGGGTAAGGGTGGGGGCTCCTGTTCGTGACTCAGCACCTCCTGCCCCTGTGAGCCTCACCCCCTCTCCCGAGAACCTTAGCACTGAGGGGCTCCTGGTTAGCGAGAGGCAGGAGTGAGATCTAAACCCACAGCTCTCGAGCACTGCTCTGCCTGCCAGGCAAGGACCTGGAGCCCAGACACTCCTGCACCCCACCTTTCCTCACCTCAAGAGTGGGCCTTTCCCCCTTCTCAGCCTCCACCCCCTGACCACTTCCCTGAGGAGGCCTGGCCATGCTAGAAACAGCCTCTGGCCTCCCTGCCTTCAAGGGGCCCATTCTGGGAGATAAAGCTGATCAAATAAGACCCTGTAGGATCAACCTGTGATGATGGAGGTATCTGGGCCGGAAGGCAAGAGGGCAGGGGAGGTGGCGGGGCCAGCAGGCAGGCAGGGGTCAGTGTGTGTGCAGGGGGGTGGTTCCAGCAAGGAGGGACTGGTGGGCAATGTTTGGGTGCTAAGCGAGCTTGGCTCTTCAACCGCCAGGAGAGTGACAGTGCTGGGGTGGGATTTGTACCTTAGAAACTCTTGAACTCACTTTAAGATAAAGCCCATAGGTTTTAAGACCCCAAAGGATGTGTGAAAAGGGGTCCCCCAAGGTGGGGGTGGGAGGTGGGGAGGGGAGCTAGGGGCTGTTCACGCGGATGGTGGACAGAACTATGACAGGACCAGGGATGGAGGGTGGGGGCCTGGGGGGGGCGTGCAGAGAGGGACCCAGGCATTCTTCCCTCCCCTCTCCTTTGTTCCCCTCCCTCCTGCCCCTTGTGCAGGGACCCAGGCTTTTGGAGATTTCTTTTTGGCCATGCAGCATGTGGGATCTTCCCCCACCAGGGATAGAACCCGTGTTCCCTGTATTGGGAGCACAGAGTCTTAACCACTAGACTGCCAGGGAGGTCCGATCCAGGCCTTTTGGGATTTGCTGGGAGATTTCGCTGAGCAGTAACTCCTGGAGAGGGGACTGTGGCAGGCTAGGGACAGTTCCCCTCTCTGAATCTGAGCCCAGCTTCCAGCTGGCTCGCAGACCCCCACAGGGCCGGAACTGCCCCCTCCCCTTCTGTCTGCACTGCACTCTCGTGGGCCAGCCCCAGCCCCCCACCTTCCCACAGTTAGCAAGGTGGCCCCAGGTGCTCAGGCCAGGAGTTTGGGTGACCCCAGCGAACTCTGGGCTGGGGGCAGAGACCCGGGATCTCCATCACCCTTTGTGATCCTGGGCAGACCTGGCCTTTCCCGAGCCTCATTCTCCTTGTGTGGAAGAGGACGGGGCTGGACAGCGCCTCTGAGAGGTCCCTTCTTGCACACTGTAAGGGGATCTAAGACTAATTTGGCCTTTGGAAGGAGCTTAGAGTCAATGACTAGGTCAGTCTGTTCTTCCAGCTCATAACTGGGCCGCAGCGGCAGCAGCATGGACTGACCCTTCCTCAAGCCCTGGATGGTGGTGGAGAGGGCAGAAGGAGTAGGTTCTGGGAGTGGCTAGTGGGGAAGGTAGGTCTCAAGCCCTGACCACACCTGGATTGCCAGGCAACCTCTAGGAGGTCCCTGCCCTCTCTCTGGACCCAAGTAAGTACCCTCTTTCCTGTGGTGAGTCTCTTGGCTCCCCTGTGGGCCTACAGCAGGGGACCTGAGGGACAGAACACATTCCTTTGTCTCTATGGAGGCACCTCAGGAGAGGCTAGGTGGGCAGGAAGCTGTGTGCATCAAGGCATGAAATGAGCCCATGTAAATCCCATGTGAATGAGCTGGTGGGGAGGGGCTGGCTGGGCCCTGGGCTGCTGCCCTGTTTCCCCCTGGCTGACCAGCCACACAGTGGGCCTTGGGGGTGGTGGGTGGGAGGACTCTAGGGTTGGGCCCTGGGAGCATGGAGATCCACACAGTATCATGGCAGCAACACCAGCCTCTTGGGGGCCAGGTCAGGGACAGGAGCCAGGCTTGTCCTTCTGCCTTCTGTCTTATGCATCCCACCCCAGGGGCACAAAAGAGAGAGCAAGACGGAAAAACCAAAGCTCAGCTTTCCTGGCGAAGTCGGCAGGGGATGGGGGACTCCTTTATGCCTCCCTCTGAAGTTCGCCTGGGTGATCAGTGTCCTACCATCCTGTGGGCCAAGGCTACTGCCTTCTCATATCTCTGCTGCTTGAAACCCTGTAACAATTCTCAGCATTCATAGCTCCAAGCGCCCTGATCTTCTCCATCCCCGTCTCCCCTTGGTCCTCCACCTTCCTCTGCTGGAGACAATCTGCGCCTTTTCTTTTCTCAGTCCCTCCCCTGGAATGCCAGGAGGAGGATGGGCCCAGGCAGAGGTTGCAGAATGACCTCGGAGGAGTCCTAGACCCCACTTGGCCTCCATGTCTCTACTGCTCAGTCCTGAGCTGGGGAGAAGAAGGAGCTTTAGGGGGAGGGCACCTGGAATCAGGCCCCGGGGTCCTGGGGAGGGGAGGTGCAGGTCCTGCCCTCAAGCCCTTGCAGCCTGGTAGGGGAGGCAGATACCGAGCTGGGTGGTGACTGTACTTGCGAGGGTCCAAGGTGGGAGGAGAACCAATACATTTTGGGCGAGATGTCAGGGAAAGAGCAGAGAGCACCTTGGAGGTGGTAGATGGTGGAAAGGTCACTGATGAATGGAAGAGGGAAGAGCATTTGCAAAGACCTGGGCGTGTGCAAGAACTTGGGGTGCTATAGGCTTCGTTGCAATAATGTGAGCTCCAGGAAGACAGAGAGGGACATTGTCAGTTGTGGTCACAGCTACATCTCTAGCACCTAGAAAAGTCCCTATGATACATTCTTGTTAGATGAATGAATAAGATGAAAGAGGAGCGAGGGTCTGGAAGTGAGATTAGATTACTACATTAGTTCCTGGGGTCAAGGCCCTAGATCTTTATCCAGTAGGTTCTAGGGAGTCTCCCAAGGGTTTTGAGCAGGGGTGGTTGGGTGATGATGGTAATGATGATAAGGATGATGGGGATCTGAGACCCAGTTTTTCACACACTGTATCCCTGCCTCCCTCACTCCAAGCTCACCACTGCACGACACACACACCCTGACCGCCCCCACCTCCCCCAACACACACCCAATCCTCAGGCATTTCCAGCTGCCTCCACGGCCCAATTTTAGCTTCTCACTGTCTGGAAAAGCAAGTGGAGAGTCTGGGATGGTCTTTCCCAGCTAGGGTCTGGCCAGGAGGTCTGTGGGTGTGAGCTGGTGAAGTGTGCCTGAAATGGCTAATTCAGGCTCAGGAAACACTCTTCTGTTGATGTTATTTAGCTCTGGGAGGAAGAGGCCTTGGGGAATAAAACAAAAGCAAAACCTACATTCTCAGGGTCACCAGTGGCCATGAGCCAACCCATACGAGAGGAAAAAGCACAGACTCACACCCAGGAGATCCTTGTTGATGTACTGATATCTTTTTGTAGGATGGTGCCCATGCCAGAACTGCTGGACCCACACCTGATCAAAATCCCAGAAGTCAGGCTGGCAGTTTTCTCAGGTTGGGCAAGATGAATGGGCTCAAAAGGGCTAGGTAGAGATGAACACATACGTGCTCAGGGTTGGGTTGATAACACAAAGGCAAACACATGGCCCGCATCCTTATCCAG